GCTGAATTTTGTCAAAAGCCTTTTCAGTTCTCTGCACCTATTGGGATGACCATGTGGTTCTTGTCTTTGAGTCCATTTATATGATTTATGACCTTTATTGACTTAAATATATTGAACCATCCCTGCATGTCTGGACTAAAGCCAACTTGATCGTGGTGGATGATCTTTTTGATGTGTGCCTGTATGCAGTTTGCAGGTATTTTGTTGAGAATGCTTGCATCTATGTTCATTAAGGATATAGGTCTTGGAGGCTGGAGAGATGGCTCAGCAGTTAAGAACACTGGCTGTTCTTGCAGAAGACCTGGGTTCAAATCCCAGCACCCACATGGCGGCTAACTACTGTCCATAACTCCAGTTCCAGGTGATCCGACAGCCTTTTCTGTCCTCCGCAGGCATTTCATGACATGGTTGCACTTAACTACACACAAGCAATATATGCATACACATAAAATAAAAATTAAAACTTAAAGAAAAGAAAAAGGATATACGTCCGTAGTTTCCTTTTTTTGGTTGTATCTTTACCTGGCTTTGGTATTAGAGTGATGCTGGCTTCTTAGAAGGAATTTGGAAGTTCTCCCTCCGTTTGAGTAAATTAAGTAGTATTGGATATAGAGATTCTTTAAATATCTGGTAGAATTCTGCTGTAAATCCATCTGGTCCTGGGTTTTTTTTCATTGGGAGGTTTTGTATTACTGTTTCAATTTCCTTATGTGTTATATGGGTCTGTTTAAGCTGTTGATCTCTTCTTGGTTTAGTTTTGGTGGTTCCCATGCTTTTAGATATGCATCCATTTCTTTTAGGTTTTCAAATTTAGTAGCGTATGAGTTTTTAAAGTATTCCCTTATAATGTTCTGGATCTTTTTGGTGTTTGTTGTGATGTTTCCCCTTTCACCTCTGATTTTGTTGATTTGGAGGTGCTCTTTCTTTCTTTTGGTTAACTGGGCTAGTGGTCTGTCAATCTTGTTTATCCTTTCAAAGAACCAGCTCTTGGATTCCTTGATTCTTTGTATTGTTTTTGTTGTTTCTGTTTCATTAATTTCTGCTCTAATGTTTGTTATTTCTTCTTGTCTGCTGGGTTTGCATTTTGTTTGTTGTCGCTTTTCAAGTGTCTTGAGTTGCAATGTTAAGTCATTTATTTCTGATCTTTCCAATTTTTTAATATAGGCACTTAGAGCTACAAACTTAGA